TTATTATTATTATTATTATTATTGTGTGAGTTTATTTTCATAGAATTTACCATTTAAGTAGTTGTCTTTAAAAACCCCCTGTGGTTTTTACTGCTTGATCTTTGAAGTTAAATATTTTTGTCCCATAGATGATGTTGAATAATCCTTTATTTGCTGGCAATCCACAACTTCAGGAACAAATGAGACAACAACTTCCTACGTTCCTTCAGCAAGTAAGATGACAATACTATCTCTTAATAAATGTCTGCAAGTCAATGAGTAACGTTTTCAATAAGCTGGTGTGTGCCTTTTGATTTGACTGAAAGCTAGATTCTTCGATACATGCTCATTAGCTTTAGAGACCAAGTGAAGTTGTCCTTTTGCTTTGTTGGTTCTTGCTTAATATCTCCATCCCTTTCAAAAGTTAAACCTGACTTTTAGTGGATGTTTTTGTGGTTGGCACAGCCACTTAGATTTGCTCTTGCTTCTTTGCTTAGCGCCTTACCTTGTTTACTGTGCACCAGCCAGAGAACACCTGTTTGTGACATGACTTATTTCACAAATTAAAAATATTAGTACTTTTCCCACTACTAGAACAAAGATTCGCTATGCTTTTCTCATACCTCTTCAAACCTGCCTTAAGTATTTGGGTTGCAAGAGATCTTACAACAACCCTTGAAAGACTCAGGTATATTAACAAGTTCAAAAGTGGGTTCTGAAGCTTTTTTGCCTGTAAGGACTGCTCTAGCACCATCTTCCCCTCTTGGCAATGTTGTGCTTGCAGCCCAGGTGTCTACTTTGTATTAGCTGCCACTGTGTGTAGTAGTGCTGTGCTCCCTAAATAGGAGCCATCAAGTTGGGGTGGTTTTTTTTTTTTAGGAACTGAAAAGTTAATCCAGTGCCTGAGTTGCATCATTAGGCAGTCCTTGCAAATCAGAGTAAACGTGCGTTGACAAGATCTGATAACACACATGCAATTTTGAGTAAAATAATTATCACATACGTGAATTACAAGCAAGTAGCAAGTTCAAAAGAAACAGAAGCAGCTGTTTAAACTGTTTCAACCACTTGAATGTCTGTAGTGTTTCATAATGCCCCTGCTTTGTCATGGCTCGGTAGTATCTGAAGAGCAAGTACCACGTGTGTTTTGAAATGTGTGAATAAATGGTAAGTAATTAATGAAGGCACAGTAGGAATCACGTTTGTATCCTTTGGGTATCTCCTTCTGTCAGTATCACCTTGGGGTGTATCTGCACAGCTGGTTAGGTCTCTTGTATTCACTGTCTTAGGTCAGATGATTAGCAGCAGCATTAGCAAGTGAGCTAAACAGAAAGCTGTCTGGATGTTCTCAGAGTGTGCACAGTATTGAGCTCATACTTCTTTGCTTATCTACTGGTGTTTATATTTTGGGATTGGGTGATAGAAACCATGCCATGTCCCTCTTCATAACGGAAGGCTTTTTGTGCAATAATGGGCAATTGCCCAGCAGAACTAAGAAAACTCATCTGTGAGCTGCTCTGTCTGCAGCTTTTAAACAAGCCTTAAGAATTGCTGCTGGTTAACAGCTGGGATTAACAACATTACTAGAGGCAAGATTCAGGTCACTTAAGTGCTCTGAGAATTGTTGGGCTACCATTTCTGTAAAACAATTCCAAATGTCAGGTGGTGAGTTGTGATTTAAATCTTTTCCTAAAGTAGCTGCAGCAGCTGTCTTTGGAGAACCCGAAATGTTTTCCTCTTTAAAATTCCGGTAAACTTTGCCAGCTAAATTTATTTATTATCTGACTTATTTATTCCATTTAGTTATTCTCTGGCTTTTAGCTCTCAGGAAAATAAAGATCCAAGAGAGGAATGGAGAATAATAACAACTTGCTTGTGGGTCTTACTACGCACCCATTCTTCATATCCTATTCTGCAGTTCTGCTCTGCACCAGGCCTTAATCCATGTGTTTCTATGTGAATGAAAAATGTTTAATAGCAGAAGGAATTTGATCTAATTGCTGAGTGAAGGCTGCTAAAATTAGTAAGATGATCTGCTATTTGAAGTAGGTCTGGCTACCAAGACTCTGTCACTTGTGACTGAAACACATTGCTTTTCACTTACCTGTGGCATCTCTAAGCAGAAGGAAGCGTAAGCCATTAGTTTTGGATTTGTATCTAAAATAGTCAGGTTTCTGGTCGTTTAATTTCAGAAATGAAAAGGATTAGCCATTTAAATTATCTGTGGATGTGAAAACCAGTTTTTTAATTGAGCTCACAGTAGAGTTGAGAGCCCTTGAATATTATACACTGCAAAACGTACTAGCAGGCAAATGTCTTTGCATTTCTCTAGGCTGTGAGGGCACTACAGATATGAAGGTACACACAAACAGTCATGCTCAAACTGCTGTGGTGTGAATTTAGCTAGGAAAAAGAAATATTGTCTAAATTAGATATCTATTGGTCAAGTTTCATTGTGTTCAGCATTGTTGGTTACTAGTAGCATGGTATAGGAGACCAATTCTAGAGTCGCAAGGCTTTGAAAAATGATGAAATCTGCTAGAAGATATAATGAAAAATACTTCTGCTGTATATTTGAAAGGCTTTGTCCACATCAAGGGAGTTCATTGGTCACCTCGTATGAAAGTTTTCTCAAAAAGAAAAAAAAAAACCTGAAGGATTTAATGTAAATATTCAAATACAAAGTTGAAAAACAAATTCTGAGATGATGTTGGACTGTGTAAAACATCTAGTGATGAAGATTAACTTTGACCATCTGCATACCATTAAGGGTTTCTCTTCTTTCCTTAGATGCAGAATCCGGACACGTTATCGGCTATGTCAAACCCTAGAGCAATGCAGGCTTTGCTGCAGATTCAGCAGGGCTTGCAAACGCTAGCCACAGAAGCACCGGGGCTTATACCAGGGTAAGAATCGGTCTTACAAACGCAGGCAAGAACTTTTCCCTTGTGTTACATTGTTCGTTCTTCCTACACATGAAGATTTTATTAGTTTTTATTAAAGACGATGATTACTGCCTTTTTTATTTGAGTTAAACTTGTTTCAGAATCTGACATGTTTTTTTCTGCCATGCACTTCTAGACAGTGATGACTCTGGACTTTGTCTTAGTACTTTAGTTGTCATCCACTCCTTGACAGGATTTTTACTCAGGAGTTAAATAAATGAGTACAAAAGCTAGTATTTATTATTCTAATTGTGTGGTTCTTTTTCTGTCATTTATGCAGATTTAATCCTGGTCTAGGGGGATTGGCAAGCACCGGAGCTCCTACAGGGTCCACTGTACCTAGTTCTGTTCACAGTGAAAGTACAAGTACAGCATCAGGAAAAAAACCTGGTCACCAGCAGTTTGTCCAGCAGATGTTGCAGGCACTTGCTGGTGCAAATGCTCAGGTAAAGCGCATCGCTATATTCTAGACTTTTTTAATTCTTACTTTATTTTTTCATTATCAACCACTAGAAAAGAACCTGGTGGTTGTGGGGATAGTTCCCTGGGTACCTCTGGGTAAAGGAGAGCAGAGGAATCTTAACAGTCCTGTTGCAGCTGTGCAAGTAAATACTGGAAAAAATGTCAGATTTGGGTAAACATGTCCTCTGAACAGATTTATACTCTCTTCCTCATACCCCTGAATTTCTGAAATGCTTGGAAGGATTGAGGCAAATGGGATGATAAGGTTCAGTGACAAGTGAAGTGTGGGCTCAGGAAACAGAAAAGCTGAAGCATATTGAACACCATTACTTCTGTGATTTTTATCTGTATTTCAGGCTGTTACTCTGTAGGTGTGACTAAGGCTCTGTCCCACACTTCGGAATAGCCACGCTCTAGTTATTTGGAGTCTGAATTTGCTGCATAGCTTCACTGATGTCCTGCAGGTCCAGACTGCAGTGCATTTTCTTAGCATACTGAGTTGGGATTAAGGGTTTCCACAGAGCGCCGGAAGTTGAGCCAAGTTGTTAGCTTTGCCAGTAGGTGTAAGGTGGTGAGCAAGTCTGGCTCTAAAGGAGACACGCTGTTAGCTCTCAGGAGTGTTGTGTGAAAGAGAGCACCCTTACACGGTGATACATACCCAGTGTAACGGCAGACTGTGGTTGGAAGGGGCAGCCCTGCTTTTTCCTCCTCCGTTGCCACAGGGAGAGTTAGCTCAGCTTGCTGATCTGACAGACTTTTTTTTTTATCTCCTGCTGTCTAACCACGAGAAGGTGTTGGTTGGTGTCACTGTAGGAAACCAAATTCTTACATGTTTTCACTTGGTATACTGTCACATCTTAGCTACTGAGTCGACGGTGTTTAGCGCTTCTTGGTGGAAGCCGGTGGGGGTGGGGAGGAGGGTTGTGGGATCAGGTCTTCAGTGTCAGGTTACGTCTTCACGCTGTATTGGTTTGGAACCATGTGCAGACTTTAAAAACTCCTAGTAATATCTTGATGTATGGAACTGTTGAATTAGAAGAGAAGGAAAACTAGCAGTAGCTGCACAGGTTTTGTGTTGGTATAAATTGACTTACTGGTTTTTGAAAAGTGACTTCTCAGTATTACTCCAGCATATCATTTTTCCTATAATTGTTCCGACTCAAAAATGCCTCAGAATGGAACATCATACTGTTGAAATCGTGCAGAATTTTGTCATGATTTTGTGTGAGCGGGATCGCCCCGTAAAGCACAACTGCCAGTTTGCCTTAGACTGAAGTTTTCTAGCCATTAGACTCCTAGAGTTTTGGTAATTGTAGTCAACAAATACTTGGAGCATTAAAAAAGAGGTGATTTTTATGTCAAGGGAAAAAAAAAAAAGCCCAAGACGTTCAACAGTGCCAACAGTAATGTCATGATCCTTGCTGTTCCACATTGCTAGGTTGAATTCCATTTCATTTAAAAAAAACACCTATACATGTATGTCTAGGAAACTCTTTGTGGGACATGAAGTCATAGGTTTACCCAATCTAATATTAATCTTTTTTTACCAAACAAGGAGCTGTTCCTGTAGTTCAAAATGCCGTTTAAGTGTAGATACTCTTTTGAAGCGGGTCTGACTTGAAGAAATAATTCGATCGCGAATTGAAGTTATGTCACAGTGTAGTTTTAGGATCTTGAAAAAGATGTAGTCAGAAATCAGTGAAGACGGGGCGTGGTGCAGAACCAACTACCTTTAAATCCTGTACTTAGCTAAATGTGTGTTACGCTCTTACAGTTTGAAATTTTGTTCTTAGCAGTTACAAAATCCAGAAGTTCGATTTCAGCAACAACTGGAGCAGCTGAGTGCCATGGGCTTTCTGAACCGTGAAGCAAATTTACAAGCGCTAATAGCAACAGGAGGAGACATCAATGCAGCTATTGAAAGGCTGCTTGGCTCTCAGCCTTCATAGCAGTGTTTCTTTAACATGGAAAAAATGTAATTTATTTTTGATAACAGCTCTTAAATCTTTAAAATATTTGCTTTATTTCATTCTGACTCTTGGGATTGTCTTGTTATAGCTAAAATTGGTCTGATGCATTTTAAGGTGGAGTGCAGTAGTTTTCTTCAAACAATGGGGATTAATGCATTTTCACTCTCTTGCATGCATCACACTTCTTTTTGTTCTGCATTATTTGTGATTTTTTTTTTTTTTTTTTTGGAAACAGTATCAGCTTTCACAGTTGGGTGAGCAGGTTTTGTCTGACCTACAACTGTCCAATTTATTTACAATTTAAACATTAGTCTCCAGTAGTAAGTTATATAGAATACAAATTTAAAAGGAAGCAAATTAATTGAAGTTACAGTTTGTGGGTACCAATACTGCTTATTGTGATTTTGGCATGGGGTTTTGGGTTGGTTTTTTGGGGGGTTTTTTTGCTAGCAAAATGCTGTAAGATTTATACCACTTGAGTAATCTACGATTTCTTGCTTTAATTTGTATAAATTATAAACACAATATATACAGTGGAAACAGCTCATTTCTAGATATTTACACATTGCAATAGGATGAGATTATAAGTTAACACAAAGAGGGGAAAAAAGTCATAGGACATGTTTTTGGTGTAGAATCTTCCAACATCTTTGGTAGCCATTTCAGCAAAAATGCTTAAGCAAGTTCAGTTAAAAAATATACTAGAATTACTGTTCTGGTTATCTCTTTACATCTAACTGTACAGAAAACTTGCATTGTAACATTGTCTCAATAATCACAAAGATTAACTGTAAATTACTTTTATTATTGTGCAAACTAAAGGGGATTTGCCTTTCGCTCTGGAGCTGCTGTTAAGGTTTCTGGCTTGTTCCACTCAGATCCTAACATGTGTTCTGATTTGTAATTGGAAGCATTACATTTCCTGGTCATGTGATATTCTAATTACTTTTAACCACCATGTAAAAAATACTGCGTATCTCCTGAGTTTTTATCGGTAGTTACTTCTCTTGTGCACAGGTAATAAATGAATTAAAAATCTTTAAGCATCTTGTCTCAGTGTGTTTGCAGTTAATGGTTACCTAGAATTCAAGGTGACTAACCAGCTTAAGGGTTGGCATTTGAGTGTAAGATGAGGGAATATTCCCCCGCTCTGGGATAAGATTAGCGAACAACTCTTGGGAGTGTGAGTGACGGGAAGAGAGTGAGAGGCGTGTGGTGTTGAAGCTGCTAGCTTAAGGTGGGGGTAGCAGAATAAAAGACCCCACTGAAAAGAGCGTCTCCTTTTTATTAGTCTTTCATGTCAGTGCAGTTGTGGACATGCTCACTGAATTCCTGTATTGCTCTAAGACACTTGGTTTGAACGGTCTTTTTGATGCCACAAGTATCAATTCAGTTGGCTCTAAAAACCACTGCTTGCCAGTGGTTTAAAATTACCCATTTTAACTTGAAACTGTTAACCAGTTTGAAGAAGAACTGTAACGTGATATAAAGGAGGAAGGTGAGCACACCTCAGCACGTAGTGAAATTTTAAAGGCTTATGGCAAAGCGATGTACGTGGGTTTTGTGGGCACTAACTGTGTTGTATCCTTGCCACAGGAGTTTCACCCGCTCTCCGGTAGTCTGTCTCTTGCTTTGCCAGTAAGTAAATTGATCGAATGCTGCTGATGCATGCTACTGGGGAACATACCAAAAAAACCTCTTGGTTGGCAGCCTCTGCCTTTGGGTCAAAGTCCCAAAGCATAGAGTGTCAGATAAGCAGAAAATAAAATAGTATCTATTGGTAAGATGAATCTAATATAATCAGAACAGGTTAAAATGCCTGCAGTTTGGGTACAAAATTACTCTTTCTCTTATTTCCTAGCCCACGATCAGGGCTGTTGTGATACCTTCACAGGGTGAGTAGCTTTCGTTGCACTGAGTTACAAGGCCGTGGTAGGGAAGTGACAGATCCAAGGAGTTTCTGTGGAGTATCCTGTAGAATAATCACTGCCTTTTCACAGTGACTGCTTATTAGGATCTTCACGGTAACCGATTTGACTTCACCCTATAGCATGCCTTACCGGGACCTTGCTTTAAAAAGGGGAAGACCCCTTGTCATTCAGGAGGCAGGTCCTTTTGAGGTTACAATCTGCAACCACCAGAAGGGCTACTGTCAAATCCAAGTGCGAGGTGAGGAAGGCAGTAGGTTTTTATCAAGCTTTTCCAAGACACTAAGACAATGAATCTGACTGGCATGAACGCTTTCTAGAGACAGCATTCAGTTCACTGCTGCATTTCAGTTGCACGTTACAAACTAAGAGGCGCTGTATTTGTAGTCAAATTTTATTACAAGTCAACAAGAGAGGACATTTGGCCTAAATTCTACAACGAGTCCTTGTGCTAAGCTTCCTTCGTGAAGTACAGTCCATATTTATCAGTAATTACTGTCAACTAGTAACAGGTTACTAAGTTCCTTGCAAGTACTGGTGAAACACTGAGCCATCTTTAGGAGAAAAGTTTGTAGATAGGGTAGGTGTTTTATTACATCTTTTAACAATAAAGAAGAACTTGGTTTAATGGAATATTACGATGTTCCTGTTTGTCCCCTGTGCACTTTCCCCTGTACCCGTTCAAAATTCTCTCCTCAGAAGTTATCTCCTACCTCTTCTTTCAGAAACAACCTTGTAGTTAGCTCTGATCACTTGGATAACTCCTATTTGGAAGCTGCTGCTTGCCCTTTGGAGCAGAAGGGGGGGCGTGTGTGCCTGAAGCTTGCCGCTTTATTCTCCCGCTTGCCACTTTTCCCCTACATCGGACCGAATGATCTGACAGGATGCTCTGCAAAACTGCCTTGCTCGATCCTCAAACCGCTGCTCGAGACAGTGACTGCTGCCGAAAGAAAAAAGCCTAAAGGCGCAGCAGCGTGTAACCGACAGGTGCCGTTTAAAATTTGCACCAAATGCTGTCACAGTGCTGCTGCGAACGTGACACCCAGACGGCTAACTCTTCCAAGGACATCATCTGCCTAATTTTCTTCTTGCTTCAGCGCCTGCATGATGCACCTCTGTTTAGAGCTGCTTTGCCTGTGCAGTTCGAAAGGACTCTACCCTTCTTGTGTTTAAGGTGTGAATGGATACTGCTGTTGGGATGTAGCATTCCATTTTTATCTCCTCGTTACAGCGTTCCAAAATGCCTGTGCTGCAGTCAGCACAGTATTTCTACAGCCTGCTGTGAACTGATTAGCATACACTCTTGAGGATAGTAGTGCATGTACCTTCCATGGACCACGTGTGCCCGTGGCAGAGACGTGGAAAGCTGTTGCTGACTCCGGATGTTTCCTCTGTAGTTTTTGCTGCCTGTGCTAAATGTATTTCAAAATACAGACAGAAAACGTGGATACAGGTAGGCTGAGCTAAATGTAAATAACCCGCCCAACTCACCCAAATACAACATGCCTAATGCAGTGTTAAGTTCACTTAAAGAAAAAAAAAAAAAAAAGGTAGGGTTGTGTTTGGGCAGGTAAGTGAAACTTAGGTGCAGGGATTGTTCTGCGATTTTTTCCTTCCACCGTATGCCCGCATGGCATCATCGCCGTCGGAGAGCGGTTTTGTGTGGTCAGCATTCGGGTGGCTGACATCTTACTCTTTCACTTCATGAAGCACGGGATGAAAGTGAGCGGAAGTGATGCTTCGGTGACTTTAGCATAGTCGGTAACGGTCTGCTTAATGGCTTCAGTGGTCGACAGCCTTCTGTGCGGTACCTGGAACTGTCTCGCAGAGCTGGGATCCACGGCAGCCCAGTGAAATGCAGGTTCAGTCCTCTTTTTAAGCAGAAGCCGAGCAGGCTTGCCCCTGTCGAGGGGAAAAAGCCAACGGCTCCCGCGAGGCCCTGTGGATTTCACGTTGCAAAGGTCAGAGATGTGGCAAAAGTTGAAGAAATGGTGGATTGCAACAGTTCCGTGCAGCTAAGTACCCAAGCCTGGTTCTGTGTTGGGGAAAATAAATCTGACATCAGGTGGAGCTAATGAAAAGCACCCCAGGAGTCTTGCAGCCTTCATTTTCTAAGGAAAAAAAGTAAGCTGTAAGGGTTTAGGGGAAAAGCATCTATAAGGAGTTTTGTTCCTTGAGGATTTCACCTGGGCTTTCCAGTGACAGTAATGGCTTCTTGGTTTCCACTTGAAAGGGGCAGTTTCGGCAATTTGCTTGGCTCTATCCACCCCCCCTTCGGAGATGGAGCCAGGATTAGAAAAGCTCTTTGTAAAATGGTGTATTGGGAAAACACGAAGACTTCATTAAAAGCTGAGGTACCACAAGAGGGTGCCATTTATTTGATTTTCATAGCTACTAAACATCGTCGTACAGCGCTGATGGGTCACGTTGCCTGAAGTGGTGCCCAGCCTCTGTCGTTCGAGGGTGTTCAGATCATCAGCCGCACACGCCTGTCTTGCGCGTAACTTTGCCCCTGAGTGCGAGCCAGGCTTGCACCTTGGCTCTCAGAATAACAGGCTCAGAACTGACAGCCAATGCTTCTTGTAGTGCTGCAGACTAAAATGGGTAACTGCCTGGTATTCTTCCTCCGGGTCACGAGTCGAAGAGGAAAAGGCCACTTCTGCGTGGGGGTGTGAATGTCTACAATCCTGAATCTGTACCTGAAAGCGCCTGCTTTCGGTCAGATAATGCCCATTTACGGCACAGATCTAAGCATAGCGGTTTGGCTGGTAAACCACAGATCCCCTACTACTCACACAAAATGAGAACCAAAACAAACGGCTTTCAACTAGTTATCCCAGTAAAAATCACACCAAAGATGCTTTGAAACATGAGTTTTGCTTCTGAAAGGAGTTCGTCCATTGTCCTAGGAATAAAAAAAAATGGCATGACAGACTAAAAATAGCCCATGTGCAACGGCACACAGGGATGACTCCATTCAGATGTGACGCTAATTTTTCTTACAGACACTGCAGTTTTCGTAAGTTAAGCTAAAAAGGTACCTCTTGTGTAACAAGGCATAAAGAACTATTTTAAAAACACTGGCAGTGAACAGGATTTTAATCTTAAATTCTGTAAGTTTAGGTAACTAATTGGATATTTGGAATTTTCTGATCACCAAAAGAAGATGTGGAAAGTATTAGAATTGGCTTGACCTTAAGCTTTGAAGCAGCTGTATGGACACCTCTCCACAAGCATGTATTGGACGGGGCATCAGCTGAGGTGGAAGACTAAAGCACACCAGAAAAGAGAGTGAAGGAGAGGGTCCCACTGTGAAGGAGTAAGTTAGTTTTTCTAGAAGAAGGAAAACATCTATCAATCTTGTATGCAGTATCTTAGGTGTGAGTGCAGAGCCAATATGATGCTTTCTTTCTGAAGACTTCTGTACAATTATTTTTTGTGTATGGCCTCACTGCCACTACCTTTTTTCTCACATTTTTGGGCCTGGTGGTCAGTGCATACAGCGAGAGTTCACAAAAGCCCTCATGAAGTCACCAGCGCCCTGGCAAGGTCAGCAAGGATGCAGACACGGAAGCTACAATTTGTTGAAAGCATGGCGGTGAGACAGGGGTCGTGTCAGGCACAGAACTTCATCGTGCGCGTTCCTTAGACTTGCAGAAAAATAAACATACTGTTTCTGACAAAGCTGTGAATTACTTCATCGCTTAAGAGCAGATGTGCCCATCTCCATGTCTGAGAGAGTAAAAACTAAAATGAAGAAATTAAATGATTGTGTGTGACCCTTGGCAGGATTTTCAAAAGAAGGCTCTTCCTAAAATGGGATTTTTAACTTCATATGCTGAAGGGTTTAAAAAGTTGTCAGTTCTTGAAAATCTCATCCGTCCTCTACAGAGCCATGATAAAAATGCCAACAGTAGTAAAACAGCTCTTAACGTTGCAATCCATTTAATTACCAGGAAAAATAAGTTGTTTTGATTGAATAATCAATTTAATAATTAAAATAATCAATGTAATAATTAATATACCCTTGATATCCTAAGGGAATTTCTGCATGTGTAATTCAGGAAGGTACTCCAGAAAAGCCTCACCCTGAAAGGATGGCACGCTCAATCTCCAGCACTATTTCGTGGAGAGGTTTTTCTACACTGACAGTAATAAAGTTTTCTGGTGCGCTGGGAGGCTCCAGAGTATCAAACTGAGACTTGAGAAGTTCAGGTGGCATGAAATGTCCTCTCCTCTTCTCCAGGCGGCCAGCAATGATGTCCATAGGCCCATCCAAATGAACGAAGAGGATCTTCAGTGCTCCCGGTTGCTCTGGCTGGTTGCTTTCAATTGCAGATGCTCCACTAAGTAATACATGCCTGTACACCTTCTTCAGTGCAGAACAGGCCAGAATTGCATCTTGTCTAGATGAGTCTTCTCTATCAAAACAAAAAAAGAAACAGCGTCTGCATGTGGTATAACAAAACTGCTTGTTAATTCTGATGAGCAAGGGAAGAGTAGTGGCATTTTTTCCTCGTTTTGGCAGGATTTTGAAACCAAACTTCCAATGCAGGTGAAGATGTGATCTGAAAGTAAGGTCAGGCCAGCCAGCCTTCTGGTAAAATCTCAGCCATGGGGACCATCTTTGTTAGCCACCCTTCTTTCATAACCTCAATTCAATTCTGGCACGAGGAAGTGTCATGATCATTTCCTCAGTCGCTGAGAAGAGCAGCAACTGAATATCCATACAGACTCCCATCCGTTACCTATAAAATTACTCATCTGTCCAGAGAGTAAATGGCTACTGAACAGTACAGAGCTCTGTTCTTAAATGCCCGTACATGCAACACCTGTTTTCACTGTCCCAAATTTAACTGCAATTTTAAATTTTACATTTCCTGTAACCATCCTCACTGGCAGCACTGCATATATGCCCACCTCAAGGTAAACAAGGGATTGGAAGCTGGTAAATTAATGCCTTGCGTGTGTATCTTTTACTGGCAAGGTTTCTTAAAATCAAGCAAGGATAAACCTGTGGGTGTGTCTGTTCCACTGCAAAGCAAATCCGCAATCACTTGTCTCTGTGAAGACTGACTGAAATGCCTACCATAAAAGATACATTCTGTAATGAAATTAAATTTAAGAATCAACCTATTAAAAAATCATGCTACATTCATCAGATACTGCTTCACAGGGAAAGAAAATCTTGTCATCATTACTATTACCAGTTGGAGTGAGTCCAGAGGAGGCCATGAAGATGCTCAGAGGGCTGGAGCCCCTCTGCTATGGGGACAGGCTGAGAGACTTGAGCTTGTTCAGTCTGGAGAAGAGAAGGCTCCGGGGAGACCTTATAGCACCTTCCAGTGCCTGAAGGGGCTACAAGGAAGCTGGGGGGGGACTTTTTAAAAGGGCCTGTAGTGACAGGACAAGGGGTAATGGGTTTAAATTGAAAGTGGGGAGGTTTAGATTAGATATCAGGAAGAAGTTCTTCACGGAGAGGGTGGTGAGGCACTGGAACAGGTTGCCCAGAGAAGCTGTGGATGCCCCATCCCTGGAAGCGTTCAAGGCCAGGCTGGATGAGGCTTTGAGCAACCTGGTCTAGTGCAAGGTGTCCCTGCCCATGGCAGGGGGGTTGGAACTAGATGGTCTTTAAGGTCCCTTCCAACCCAAACCATTCAAAGATTATCACCTAGGTCAGACAATGCCAGCCTCAGCTACTTATAAGTAAGTAAACACTGGCATTAGGCTTTTTTTAAGTATACCTAATTTTGCAGTTTCTGGAGCTGGGCAGTGCCCTTGGGCTGGCATGTAAGGGGAAAAAATGGATCCAGCACCACAATCCAGATAAATGTGTCAGTGAATTAACCCATGCTCCAATGAGGTACGCTCACCTGATGTGCACAGGCAACGGCTACTGTGCAAAGCCAGGCTTAACAGTCCCTGCTCTCCCAGCCTTTCCTCATGTGGGAGATGCTCCAGTCCATCATCTACATGGCCCTTCCTTGGATGCTCTCCAGCAGATCCATGCCTGCCTCATAATGGGGAGCCAAGAACTGGACCCCACACTCCAGGTGCAGCCTCACCAGTACTGAGGAGAGGGAAGAATCACCGCCCTTGACCTGCGAGCACTCTTTGTCTAATGCAGCCCAGGCTATGGCTGGTGTGCTCTGCCGGAAGAGCACATTGCTGGCTCCTGTCCAGCTTGGGTCCCAGGCCCTTTTCTGCACAGCAGCTTTCCAGCCTGGTGTCCCCCAGTGTCTGGGTGCCTGGGGTTGTTCCTCCCCAGGGGGAAACCTCTGCACTTCTTAAACTTCACAAGGTTCCTGTCAGCCCATTTCTCCAGCCTGTCAACATCCCTCCGGATCAGCCCCTCCTCCCAGTTTTGAGTCATCTGCAACCCTGCTGAGGGTACACTCTGCCCCATCTGTCATCCAGGTCATTGATGCAGATGTTTGACAGGACAGGACCCAGTACGGACCCCTGGGCTACACCGCTGGTTACAGACCTCCAGCTAGACTTGACGCCACTGATCACCCCCTCTGCACCTGGTTGTTCAGCCAGTTTTCAACCCACCTCACTGTCTGCCCATCCAGTCCTTATTTCCAACAGCTTCTCTATGAGGATCCTATTGGAAATTTCACTCCGAATCTTACTAATTATCAGCATTTTACAGAATTCTATCCTAATGTCATTATTGGTGTGTTTTGTGGTTATATCATTTGTAAGTAGCTGATGTCAGTATTGTTACTGAACTGGATCATAGAATCACAGAACGGTTTGGGTTGGAAGGGATCTTAAAGACCATCTAGT